TAAATTATTTACAATTTGATTTGACTGTCAACTATTGCATTTAAGTCACAAAAGTTGTGTCCGTTTCTATTTTATTACACTTTTAAAAGGTTTAATTCTTTTGATGTCACTTTTTATTACAAACATGAGATATACAACTCATTTGTTAGGCAATATCCTATAGAATGTCCGTGTCCGTTACCATAGACATTTAAAACTTGTTACTAGCGACTCAGCAAAAAAAAGTATATGTAATTTAAAGAAGTAAATATGGTAGATTCGAATAGATAAGGTTGAGTTGGCGCAGTCAAAGAACCGTGAGTAAAATAGCTGTCACAGTCTACATATTCGATGCCTTGGCTCCTGTGACGTCGAAGGTAGTGGTAAAGAAAGGATGGTGGCATTTCGGCTGTGGCATTCGCCACAGCTGCGCTTTCTTGTTGCATCTCTCTTGAAAAGTGAGACGTCGACCAGCGACAGACGCCGTGGTTTGCGGGAAGTATTTGATAGATTGCTCAAGGGGCGCCAGTGTTGCCCGGGGCTGCCCGACTAGTTAATCACGATGAAGAGGTTGCGAAGTACACACTACGAGTATAGACTGATTAAGATGGACGACTCAAATGCCGTTCATCACCTCGACTGTCTGCCGAGGATTTATTCATCCCGGGAATCCTGACCGCGTAAAGGAGGGACCTACCTAACTAGATTCCAAATGGTTTAAGGCTGAAAATTCATTTCCCGTGCATTGTCAAAATAAAAAGTTCCAAACGGTCCTGAATCCTCAGTAATTCCTTGCCATAAACCGGGGCCAAAACTATGCGAGAGGATGGTTTTAAAGAGCAAAGGGTTTTAAAGGGGAGGCCAACCACGTTTGATTAGCAGCGTCTGGTCCGATATTTGGAGTCTCGGGCTGCTTGCTCCTTTAGTCCACAGTAAAGTAAGTGTTAAGGTTCCTATCGTTTCAAAAGATCATCATCATCACCGCCTTATAGGCCTCTACGGATGGGACCGAACCGAATCAAATAGGGAGAAACTAAATTATTATTTGATTAACTATTATCGTTTTAGTTTGATTAAATTTAAATAACGTTTATGCTATTAAGTTCACTGATTGTTTCTTCCGCTATTTATGTTTTGGCTGCACAAATAATAGAGTCGCTATTGCAGGGTGACAATGATTGTGCATGCTGCGTCATACCATCACGGCAGAAGGCCGGTGTGCCTACAAACAGACTCATTACCTCCCCAGTGACGATTGTCAATTACAAGACAAAAACTCTCATGGTTTATAAGGTTTGAACGTACGCGGGCGCACTCAGAGCGCATCTCCGTTCATTATATGTATACCGACTGCCGGTCAGACAGTGTGTTTTGCTTGTGCGACGAATAAAACTTTTAACAAAGTGTGCAAACGTAAGTTGCATTGATAATTAAATATGTCAACAAATAGGTTAAATATAATTAAAAAAAAATTATTCGTATTTTTGAATAAATATGATTTATCAAATAAACAGTGTACAAACGTAAGTTGCATTTATAACTAGATATGTCAATAAAAAGGTAAAATATCATTAAATATTTTCTAGTTCGTATTTTTAAATTTAATATGATTCCTAAAACCGTGGAAATGCCTCAATTCAAGTTATAAACTTTGAAAGTTTTTAAGTAGGCTCATTCCGATGGTTCGTGGTATTGTAGATGTATTTTCTTAACTTCTCTTAAACTGTAATTAACATTTACAAATACACACAATTTTATAATTTATATAAAAAAACACGCAAACGGCATAAAAAATCACAGAATAGGAATCGTGAAATATTTTTCAATTAGCATTCGTAGACCTGGGGGCCAATTCTACTAAATAAATTTTGTTTAAATCGAATCGAAAACGGATCGAAACCGAACGAAACTACAATTTTTAATGGTTTTTCTATTCTACTAAGTGACATACGATACAATTCCAGCTAAAATAGAACTGGATTGTATCGCAGGCCCCCTGTTTGGAGGAGTTACTTCTTTTCGATTTCGACATCACCCTTATTATATTCCTAATTAAAATAACTAATAGGATAATATTTAATACATTCCTAAGTTTTTTTTTTATAAATCTACAAATCTTGGATGTGACAGAACATTATAGTACCTACAACAAATTTTGTATTTCTTTGTACACACACACACACGGAACAACACGGTTATCAAAACATATCTAATTTACGCAAAATTAATGTATTATGGTTTACAGTATAGTGAATTTTGATAAAAAAAAAGAAATTTGACAGGTTGCTATAACTTTTTTATTGACCCAGGGACTGTCGCCTGACAGGGCAGCAGGGGGTATGTGAGACTTCCCCACTCACCTACCCACTAAAAACTCTGCGAATATCCTAATTTTGGGGTCACACCCGTTCAATTATAGGTAGCCTATGTCAACCCCGTATGACGTAGCTACCCGTAGGTGAAAGAATCTATAGAATCGATCTAGTAGTTTCGGAGCCTATTATATGCAAATATACAATCAATCTTCCTGTTTGTAATATTATAATATGTAGATATACATAGTATAAAACAAAATTGCTTTCTCTGTCCCTATACTCGTATCCCTATGTATGCTTAAATCTTTAAAACTACACAACGGATTTTGATGCGATTTTTGTTTTCATAGATAGGGTGATTCAAAAGGAAGGTTTTTTATGTATAATACAAGACCCCGCGGGCGAAGCCGCTGACGGAAAGCTATTTTGTAATAAAATAAATTGACAAAAAGTTTATTACTACTCTATAGTATAAACGCCATAAGTGACATCAGAATAGCGTTAAACTAGAACCAAATAAAAATTAGTGATTTTATCTAGTTTAGATTTGTAAATCAAAATTGGCATCATTATTATTCCTCGAATAAAATATACGTATGTGTTAAGATACCTAGTCTTACTAAAAATATATTCAAAGTATAATTTGATTAAAAAAAAACTGAAAGTGGCCCTAAACAGGTTTTAATATAAAATAATTTACAACTCGTAATACAATGTTTCATCCTAACTTTATAAAAATATTAAATTTATAAAAAACTTTTTAACGGTTCGTATTTCATTTAAATAAATGACGCAGAGCAAAAAGTAGAACCAACTTATCCGATTTCAATAGCATTTTCTTGATAAAGCTTTTGAGATAAGTATTATATTATTTTTTTAAAGTTATATTTATCATAGCGGTCGATTTTTTTATTTTTGTTTCGTGCTTTTTAGTGAAATTGATTTATATAAATAAAAAACATAAACCACCATCGAACATAACCTCCTCCTTTTCGATTTTGAAGTCAGTTGAAAAAGCATGCTAATGTCCTAGTGCACACAACGCCTACGACCTTACGCTGTTCCCGAAAGCAGGTGGCAAACTTCGAGCGGAAAACAAAACTAAGTGGTAATCTTAATCAGTGGTACTTAGAGTATTAATAATGTTTTATAGCTCTATTAAAATGGAGTTTAGAATAATGAGACCATTATGCAGTTTTGACATGAATACGTATGTCTATTAAAATACTAAGTGACCGTGGTTTGTATAATTTCCGGAGGTCAAAATAACATATAAGCTTAATAATTGCATTTTTTAAAGTATGTAGTTTCCCTCGTAATTACAATCCCTGGTAACAGTTTAGTTGGGCGTTGATTCTTATGTACACAATGTAGTATAGGTTCCCTCTTAACATTCAAATTGGTGTCAGGTGAAAATATCTAGAAAACACTATGTGTTCAGTGCGTAGTACTTATTTGTTAATACGTTAATAATCTACACAGGAAACCTTTAATGGTGACCCTCGAGACAATAATCGACAGTTTGTTAGACCATTCCCACGCTAATTACTTGACCTACAAAATGTTGTGTGTGTTCATTATTTTCATTACCATAGTTCAAGACCGACACCAACATAACATAAATTTTGCACAAATAAAATAAATTAGAGAGCTTCTTCAACAATACCTGCGGGCCAATTCTACTAAATAAATTTTGTTTAAATCGAATCGAAAACGGATCGAAACCGAACGAAACTACAGTTTTTAATGGTTTTCCTATTCTACAAAGTGACATAAGATACAATTCCCGTTCTATTTTAGCTGGAATTGTATCGTATGTATCCTAGTAGCATTGTTATGTAGGCTAGCGTCAGTTTATAACATAGACATTTGAAAAGTATTTTCGCATAGTATAAACTTGTATGTAATATTTTATGAATTTCGCGTTCACAATGCAATACTGAAAAATTAGGAACTTGTGGTAAATTTCTTTGGATGTTAGTGTCTGGCTGGTTTTGCTAATATTAAAAAATAAATCGATTAGTAAAATGTTGACGATTTTGGCTTAAAACAGTTATATACCTACTTGCCAATAATTACCTATCTAATTTTTTGTATGTATTGAAAGTAATCCTTTATAACAAACCATAGTGTCGCCTAATTGACCAATGTAAAAAACCAACGCAATCCCTTTAAAAGCTATTGGAATTGTGACACCGTTTTATGGAATTATGTAAAGTTTAAAGTCACAATCGGTTCCGGACCGAATGATGACTTGAATAATCAAGAAACATAATAAAAACTTAGAAAGTAACATAGGTAAATTAAAGAATATTTGCGTCTAACGCTTGCCTAGAAAAAATCCCTTTAACGTTCTTCTTCTTCTTCTTCTTAACTTTAATGGCACTTTGCGTCACCACATTACTGCCAACTTCACGTAGGAGACAATTACACGATTTAAATACATTCATCAAAACAATTTTGAATTTCCAATTCTATCTTTCTACATAGATTTACCAAAAACAACTTAATACGTTAATACGATTTTAATACGTTAATTAAGAAATAATTTTATATAAACAATGATTTAAACATAATCATAATGAGTCTAACCACAGACCACTATTAAATTAATTAATTGTGTTAAAAAAAATCGTGCATCCAATATCTTTCAAAAATCACATATGGAATAGTTGTAGCGTGAAGTGCGTGAACATATTTTTTTTTTTAATTAAAAGAAAATTGGATGTAAAAAAATTAGTAGAGTAGTCCTCAATAGTATTATAATCTCTTTTAACATTTCTCAGATGGTGATAGCGGTCCTGACATGTTTGGTCCTATTTTTTGGATGCGCCTGCGCAACACCGGCAGATGAACCAGCGGAGACTGGGAAAGGAATTTCAACTAAAGATCTACAAAGCAATGACCTAAATACTGACGCTAGCACATGTAAAATATTTTTCTCTATGCTGATACAATCAAGCGTTAATATATACTAATATTATAAACAGGAAAGATGTGATTGTCTGGTTGTGTGTTTGTGTGCATCGAATAGGCTCCGAAACTACCGGCCCGATTATAAAAAATCTTTCAGTAACGGGCAGCTACAATATACTGGCTTGAACAGGCTATAATTTACGCAGCCGAAGTCGCGGGAAACAACTAGTCAAATTATCAAAAATGACCATTCATTATTGGCTTTCTTTCTCAAAATCTATCTTCCCGAAAATCTATGTAAAAAAATCAAATATGAATTTACTTTAAATCAATATCGTGACCATTGTTTAATATGAATTCTTATGAATTATTTCATCTATTCAGATTGGAGCGGATATCCTGGTGGTAGCCATCACAATCACGTGGTTGGATATGGTGTAATAGACGACAAATACACTCCGTACAACAACGGTGGGTACGATTACAGAGGATACGACAGGGGTTACCAAGATTACAACGGTTATGGGGGCTACGGTAGCAATGGGGGATACGGCGGATACAAAGGGTATGGAGGGGGATATTCTGGATACAACCATGGTGGACACAGTTACGACATAAACTCACTGGCGGGTAACGGAGGCTACGGCGGTTACGGCGGTAATGGTGGACTCAATTCATATTACGGTTACAACAGTCCTGCATATCAAGGTGGACATCTCGGATATGGATATTATAATAAACACAGGAGCTATGGAAATATTTATAATAGCGGCATCACACCAAGCCTCGTAACAGGCTACAGAGGTTATTCAAGAAGATAATAATAATAAACACTTTGGATTATCATTCTTGTTATGGGGTCGGATTTTAAACAAAAGGTTACGGCACTCACAATTGAATCGAACAAAAAACAACTTATATATTAAGTTTTCATAGATTACTCGATACGGAAAGGTGAAATTTAATTCCATAAATGACATTCTCATTTATACCTAATATTTTGTTGTTAATCAGTAGACTATCAGCATCCAAGTTGGCAGAAACCTATAGAAATAGAAAACAATTAATTATACCTTTTCGTTTTGGTCTACGACTGTGGGTTAATAGTTCAGAAATTTATAAACAATTTATTCATGATTTGGTCACTATGAACCTATAGAATAGGTACCGTTTTTCAATTAATCATGTTGGGAACCTGTCTATGTAGTAATGTGTTAAACTACCTAAACCATATAATAATGTTAAATCTATTTAAGCTGACCAAAGTACCTTCCAAAGTTATTTTTAAGTAGTTCTAGAAAAATTGTAAAATTTGTAGAATATTTATAATGCATTAAAAATAAAGATAATGTTTGCTTAGTTTCAAAACTTTATTTACTAACAATGTGACATCCACGTATTCTTAGTCATACATGCTATTTCATTGAAGAAAATTATAGCAACATTAAAACAAATTAAAACATTAATGTTATAGTAAATCTACAATACAAGTAATAATTACTTAATGTAACCGTGATACCACATTAATCGGAACCGGAAACACTAGTTTGCTTTTTCATCGACTTTAACGCTCTTTCGCGCAGCTTTTTTTCAAGGTCTTCATTGTTCACTTTATTCTCCTCTTCCTCTTCTTCCATCTCATCACTGTCGGACGAATCGTCCTTCTTCTTAGATGACTTCTTGTGTTTCTTATGTTTCTTGTGCTTTTTAGAATGTTTCTTGTGCTTTTTAGCTTTTTTAGATTTCTTAGGCTCGTCACTATCAGACTCTGATTCTGATTCAGATACTTTTTTCTTTGCTCTCTTTTTAGACACCTGATCGCTATCAGAAGAAGATTCCTCTTTCTCACGTTTTTTAGCTTTCTTATCGTTATCATCACGTGATTTTGATTTATGATCTTCAGGATGCTTTGGCTTTGGTTTATCATCGCCTTTTTTAGTTTTCGCTGCTTCAGGCGAAGGCTGTTTCTCTTTTGATGGGTCTCCTTTCTTACTGCGCCTTACATCTTTTTCTGAACTAGAAGTATCACGTTTAGTTTTCTTTTTAGTAGACTTTTCGTCACTATCTGAGCTATCATCATGCGAATCGTCAGAGTTCTCGATTTTCTTTGACTTAGATTGTTTAACGTCAGCTTTTTCAGACTTTGATCTATCAACGCTGGCGTCTTTGCCCCGTTTCTTAGACTTCTTTTCAATGTCAGATTCTTCTGGAATGTTCTTCTTTTTAGAGCTTTTATGTTTAACTTCCTCTTCAGAACTAGAATCTGAGCTAGAAGAACGAGCCCTCTTCTTTCTGGATTTCTTTGCCACCTTCTTCTTAGACGTCTTTTTACTCTTCTTTTTCCTTTCTTCTTCAGAGTCACTAGAAGAGGAGTCTTCAGATTCGCTATCGCTTGAAGAGCTTTCCTTTTTAGGTTTTTTAGTTTTCTTTGAAGGTACCTTCTCTTTTTTCTTAAGTTTAGCTTTGCTCTTTGACTTCGACACACCTTCACTGCTTTCACTTTCAGATTCAGAGTGGTGCTGTTTACGTTTGCCTCTCTTGGCTTCCTTCACTTTATTTTCTTCCTCCTGTTGTTCTTTGCCAGAAGCATCATCATTTGATTTGTCTGATTTCTTATTATTCTCAATTTCGTGCTTCCTCAAAAATGGCGATGGAGTGCGGGATAAGCTCTTTGAATATTCCCGAAGAGTTGGTATTGGAATAAAATCTTCTCTTTCTTCTTCATCAGAAGAGTGAACAGTTTTCACCTGACTCTCATCTTGTACAGCGTTAGATTTATCATTGGCAACTGAAGACTCTCTGCTAGAACTAGACAGGACTCTTTCTTTTGAAAGGTTCTCTCGAGCCACAGACACGCGTTCTGATGACTTCTTTCGCACCTTATCAATAGTTTCTGTAGAGTGAAAAGTATATTGTTAGTCTATTACAAAAAAAAATATTGCGAGTAACTACCACAAGTTTATGGACTTGTAGAAGTATGATCTAGGGCCACGGTAGTGGCCCGCCAAAGCAGAGCCAAAATACAAACGAAGAGCGAGGTCAAAACATAATTTTTTCGAATAGCATATTTGGTAAACACAAACAACACGAAGCAAAGGCGCATTATCTCAAACAGTAGTATTTGAATTTTTTTATGAAAAACTGGTATGAAACTAAACTCTGTTAACATATTTAAAATGTGATTTACTACAATGTCAGTCTAATACGCTTATGTTTTAAATATCACAAATTGATTAAACCAACCCTTTCTCGGTATAGAAACCGATTTTTCCAAACGTTCCTTGATAAGATCACTGGACCTCTTGTCGCGAGATCTTCGATCTCTGGATCTTCTATCCTTCCTGTCCTTTGACCTTCTATCCCTGCTACAAAAAAACTACTTTTAGCATTATTTTCCTAAAAATTTTTTTTGTTGTATCACCTAATAGATTTCCACCAATTAATAGTCTCCAATGTTTAGTGCGAAGTGTGTTTAGTTTTTACGTCGGGTAAATATATATATATACATTCACATATTATCAGTTATTATGTGAGCGTCAAAAGAAACAGATTCTGCGTAATTTATCTGTGTTTTCACCTACCCTAGGAACAATATATTAATAATCAACTATTACATCGGTGACCAAAAAATTATTATCTCAAGTTACTCCATGCTTCGGAAGGTACGTTAAGCTGTTTGTCCAGGCTGCATCTGCGGTCGTTAACATATACATAGTACGTTCTGATGCCCAAGATAGTCAGTGCCCTGAAAGGGTTGACGATGATGATGACTATTATATTCACATCTTCATAATAAGATATTAGGATAAGATATTAGGATAATATATTATCTCATGGGAATAATGAAAAATGAGTGTCGTAACCTGGACCTATCTCTTGAGCGCCGATCTCGCGAGCGACGATCTCTAGAGCGGCGATCGCGTGATCCCCTTCCAGAGCGACGACGGGATCGAGAACGCCTGCGGGAACGTGACCTGCGACGATCGCGAGACCTAGCCCACCATAATATATTAATAGGTGTGTAGACAACTTTTTTATATATTTTTATTTAATTAATATGCATGAAATATATCTAACAAAATATCATTCATGTAATAAGTTCAAATCTAAAAATAAATTTAATTTTCAAAATTTCCCACTAGAACGCAGACTTCTGTCATGGCGTCTTTATGACGTCGAGGTTCTGTCAGGGCTTGAAACCAGTTCAGAATAAACCGTTTTTATTTAGGTAAAACCTGTTCTCTTATAATGTTCCGTTCAGGATCGGAACTAAATGCGGAGTGAAATTCGGATGGAATAAAAACCGGTTAATTTGCTTGGTTCGTAAAAAGCAATGTTCTTACGCTTTTAATGCGAATTATATAATTTTTAAGCGACGACATTTATCATACCTGTGTACGGATGTTATAGATAGGAGTATAGGCACTTTAAAACCGCGCTGAAGTTTGTGAGATCATTGTCTGGAGTCATATTTAAACCGGTTAATGAATAAAACCGTATTTCTAGTGAACCGGTTTAAAAACCTGTTCAAAGGAGCTGAACCCTTCATCTGAAGTTCCGTATGTAACTACGTCAAACCGGTTCAAAAAATAAACCGGTTTCCAAGCCCTGGGCTCTGTGAAACTAACATCATTATGTTTGCTCGAGGTTTAATTCTCTAAGTTCTGATATGAGTAATAGGGGCGTGACGTCAGTCGCTGTTTACGGTCACGTGACATCAAATATAAAATAATTAATCTAAGGTCAAAGCTCGAAGAACATAAAAAAAATATATAATATGAATTAATCGAACGCGACACTAATAAAACTGTCTCATTGCCGTCACTACACTGTCCTATATCCTATATCCTAATCCACTAAGTATATCCCCGAAGAAGCATTTACGATAGTTTCGGTAGTGAAAAATAAGTTACAAAAATTGCACAAAAACTATAATGTAATTAGTTTTAAAAATAGAGATTATGATTATGAGTACATAACAAACAGAGCGCTTAGTGTAAGTTTTTTTGACGTTTACGTTCACTGTCGATCGTGAGCGCGTTAAGATTTTAGTATGGAATCCGGCACAGCGCCCCTAGCGGTAACTATCAAGAACTACAAATCTCCATACAAATTCTTAACGCGCTCACTAGTGAACGCGTTAGCGCAAAACTTACACTTACCACTCTGTACATTTTCTGTTTTGTGTACATATAACAGTGACGTCAATAATATGACTTTTAATAATTGAGCTTTTTTTAAATTAAAATTACATTAGTTTCAATGAAAAGGTATTCGAACAACAGAATGTTCTGTTTTTGAACAGTAGTTGAGAGCTTTTTAAAATGCAGGTGGTCTTCAGGCCCAGCCCTTTACTTACAATGATTATTTCCAACAAGCTTACTTACTATAGTATAATACTAGACTAATAAAATACTCAGGACAGACAATAATACAATACTGAGGAGTTCGATGGCGCAGTGGTTAGCGCGCTCGGTCTGCGATATAGTTGTTAAGCAACTTTCGCAATTGCAGACCATAGAATGGGTGACCAAAAATTTCTAGAACTCTGTGCTTCGGAAGGCACGTTAAGCCGTTGGTCCCGGCTGCATATGCAGTCGTTAATACCCATCAATCCGCACTGGGCCCTGGGTCATGGCCCATTCGATTTGATTCCATCCATAAGGAAGGCCTGAACACCGGCAGTGGGGACATTAATAAGCTGGTGATGATGATCATGATGACGATACTATAATTTTATACAAATCAACCATTCCATGAACCAAGTAGATGAAATATTTATTACATAACATGCTACTATATACGAATGTGTTAAGCTCATACAGTAAAAACACTATTAACAAAGTAAAATTTTAGCTTATTTGTGATTTGACTATAATATAATTAAAATTAGAGAGATTAGAGCTCAGATTAAATAAAAAAAAATTAAGCAGCCTAAATCATGTCTTGTGAGTCTTTTAATTTTTTCGAGTCAAACTTGATATTACACTATTTTCTAACTGCCAATGTTTGTTATCTAGTTAAATCACTTTACCTGTCTCTTGAACGTCGTCGAGATCTCGATCGCGATCGTCTACGTCTTTCAAGTGACCGACGACGTTCACGGGACCTGTAATGAAATTTAAGATCGACACTATTCAGCAATAAGAGCTCTAACCGGAGCAAACTAAAAAAAAAAGAAAATGCATAAGTATAAACGGAATGGAAGAACGTTTAGCCAACACACCTTTCCCTTCTCTCTCTCTCGCGTCGACGACGTTCCCTCTCCCTGTCTCTCTCCCTCTCGCGTTCACGTTCTCGGTCCCTCTCGCGACGATCTATTGATCTGCGACGGCTGCTGCGGCGACGAGACTTACTTCTGTTATTAAAATAAAAAATAATCCTTTCGTGGTTACTAATTCACGACAAATATTTTACGATTATATTGAACGTGTAATATAATATGTTGATTGAGACTCGAACATATAAAATCGAGCAAGTGTAAATAAAAAGGGTCAAGACGACCAATGGCGTAACTACAGGGTGGCAAATCGGCAAAATGCCACGGGGCCCCCAGCTGGAAGGGGCCCCTGTTCAGAGGGACTCCTTACTCCTGCCATTCATTATTACACAATTAATAAAAAAAAATAGAATATTCGATGAATTTGCCACGGGCCTCAGAAGGTATATTAACGCCATTGAAGATGACTGTCAAGAATGCCAAAGACGTGTGTAAACTACTACCAACTTAGCAAGGGACTTTATTCTGATTATGCTACAAAGATTTAACCGACGTATTTTAAGTGATAATATTAAGGAAGAAAAGGAATAAATGAATATCTGCCTGTTTCTGATTTAAGCACAAAATCTTAACTGATTATTCTTAATAACTTAAGTTTTATAATTTTTACAAGGCAAAAAAAAATATTAGTTTTTATCAAACTGCTATGAACTGATCATTAAAAAAACTAAAATCAGAAACAAAAACCTGTTTATGTGATGTTTTAGTAGAATTTGAGGCATGTTTAACTTTAAATATTCAATTCAGAAACCGGGTGTAAGAGTAACTAACCTCTCTCTGCGGGAACTGCGTCTTGGGCTAACACTTGTAGATGAATCGCGATTGGAACGATACTGCCGTTTTTTATGCGATGACCTTTTCTTCAGGCTTCCATCTGCAAACCACACGTCTTAGTCAAATACATACTAATGGTGACAGAGCAAATATAATTATTTTTTTTCATAATATGCAACAACTTAGCGCTAAGACAGTCCGCTATCAGAATAGAGTTATTTATATATGTAAAGCATTTAATTGATATGTATCTTCGCATGTGTGTAGTGCTTTTGTTACACATTTTATCACGCGAGTAATTTATAATTAAGAAAAATTATATGAAAACTTTTTAGGTCAGACTCACAAATTTCGACCTAATGGAATAATTAATATAATACATGAAATGAAATAAAAATTAAAGAAATCTTTTATTCCATGGTTTTTTTTTGCAGAATTTTTATGAAATTAATCACTGATTAAATAAAATGCCAGGTATAAGGTTAACTAGATAAGATGATTTAGAAAGTGAGCGGGTCAACTGTCTTATTTTTCATACAATAAATAATTCTTACATAAGACACCCGTGAATTTAAGATTATCGAGAAATTATAGGGAAAAATAAATATTCTTAAGATGACTATGTTGCAAATAGAAAATAAACTTTCAAATAGATGGTTACAATATAATATAATAATCACTCACGCGATGACGCTGATGAAGATCGCCTCTCACTTGACGACTGACGAGTCTTCTCTACAGGTTTTTCATCTGCCGGTTTCTCACTTACAGATCTAAATTAATTCAAACATTCTAATTTTAACAGAAAAAGAAACTACAAAATTATAAATGATTTCAACAGCATGTCTGGTTATACAAATCTGTTAAATTTCTTCGCTTGATTTTAAATCTTAATACATTGAAATTACGTTTGTAAATCAATTGTAATAATTTGCTGTAACTTCGATGTGTGAATGTAGCCATTTATACATAAAATATCAAATGCGGATTTATTATTAACAGTGATCAAAGTAGATTGATTTTAGGTATTTGTCTCGTAAGTGCTCATATAAAGCATGCAAGTATAACGTGGATTAAACATTTTTCCAGAAAATATTACTGGGTGCTTCAACATTTTTTTTTTATATATATATATATATTTCTGGGTGCAGAAACATTTCTTGTATGAAAAAAAAATGTTGAGTGATATTCTTTTATGGTAGCGTTTAACTATCACCGATAATCACACTTTTATGTTTATTATTTTATAATATTTGGTAGTTTGGTTATCGTGCAGTGACGTCATAGCGATGCCATAAAGTAGTGGCGTTTTTGCAAGATATTTTGAAAATTAAATTTATTTTTAGACTAACTTATTATATGAATGATATTTTTTTATATATATTTCATGATTATTTCATGCTAAAATAAAAATATAAAAATAAGTTGTCTACACCCCTAAAATTACTTTAGAATAAAAAAATTTAAAACTATTTAGCCCATTTTTTGTCTAGTGATTATTTAACGAAATTCATTCAATTTAATTCAATTTAACAAAATTTGAGGTTTAAATTGAAAATATTTATTTTTTGTGCAATTACTTCATATCAGGGTAAAAAAAAAATCATTCATTTACTTGGTGGGTGACGCAGATCTTGACTTTGGTTTGGGTTCTTCATTAGTCTCTTCAACAACAGAATTCTCTTGCTTGTCCTCGTTGAGTGATTCATTTGTAGAGTTATGGTTCACTTCTTTTTTCTCCTCTGGTTCTTCTTCTTTCTTTTCTGGAGATTGACCATTTTCTGTGAATGAATTAAACATATACAATATTTAACAACATTTCTCTTTCCAACCAGCTCATTGAAGCATAATATTCCAAAGTGAGTAGCAGCTGAAAATTTTTGAATGCATATAGGCTGCATACACATTTTACAAGGATATTGTAGTTAGTATTTGATTTGATCCACAGCCTTTCCCTATGACTCTGACTTTAATCAGCAATTCAACAACAAAAAAATCTTTTTATCCATGAACTTTTATAGTATAGTCGTAAATCTATTATTAGTTTTGTCTAATTAGGTACTTTATAAAAACGAGTTAGAAAATACTTTAGTCATAATGTAAATACGTAAAAAATCGTGTAAAAAAACAACTCTGAGGCAACAATTTCTCGTATCAAAACTAAAAATGCTTACCGATCGATTGCGGCAACTTAATTTCCTCAACATTGGTCTTCGATTGGCTGCTCTTGTCTCGGCTCGCCTTGTCACGGCTTCGCCTCCTCGAACGCCGCGGGCTGCCACCGTTCCGATGTCTATTTCATCACAATATTTTATTACTCAAGTTAATATCAGATAATTCAATATAAGTTAAAAAAACTCAGGGGTGGGAGCAATCGCCCGTGGATTGAACAAAGTGGATTTTTTAAAGCATTTTTCATTAAGAATATATTTCAGTATAGCACTGTAAATGTGAAATTGATCAAATATAAAAAAATATATTTCCAAAAAAAAATTCTTAATAATGGAACACTGATATTCGTTATTAATAAAGCAGCCACTGTTAAATTTCTTGCCAGTTCCTCAGTTCAAGGTTTTTAGTAGATTTGCAAACGTATTTGATTTACTTACATATGTCTATATGCCTGTATACTAGGAAGTCTTCGTAGCTAAGACCTAACTGAACCTCATCATCATTAGCCCTTTTACGTCCGCACTGCAGGGGGGCCTTCCTCATTAGATGGTTAAGGAGGATTGGTCATGACCATGCAGGCCCAATGCAGATTGAAGAGTATTAACGACTGTGCAGCCGGGACCAACGGTTTGACGTGCCTTCTCTCGCTTCGAGATAATAATTTCGGTTATCCATCCTGTGTACGACTCTTGCGAAAGTTACTTAACAACAAACGATCACGAACCGCGGCGCTTATCCACTAGGCCACTGAAGTACTTACTGATCCTACATTGACTAAACGAGTTAAAATTAAAAAAAAATCAGTGAAAATTTTAATAGGGACTCACTTCCTATCTGAAGAACGATCTCTCGATCTAGAACGCGAACGACGGCGATCACGAGAGCGGCGACGCGATCGGGATCGGGACCGCGATCGGCGCCGATCCTTATCCTTTTCCTTGTCTTTTTGCTGCTCTTCCTACAAAAATTATTCAATTAGTACCAACCAGCTCAGCCTTTACACGAGTTCAAATGATATAAGTAGTAAACTCCCAGCCAGCACAACTTCTCCAGAAAATTTCAACACCAATTTGGATGTCTCTTTATTGAAATCATATTAAGACACCAAAATCGTTCTCCCGCATTACTGTCTATAAATGAAAGTCATTAAGGTAATTATTGAGTGGTTCCTGGAAATTGCTAATTCACTGGAATATTGTCTTAGCTATATTTATTTTTAATGAAATCATAATAGCAATTGCTATTTTCTGAGTTATATGGCCAATAAATGATTCGATTGATTGATTGATATTTAGTCAACTATAACAACAAAACTTAGCAATAACAATCGTAAAGCCACGTGCTTTACAGATCAAATCCATTTAAACATAAACACTCCGCATCACCTGCAGTTGAGCCTGACTGTCGCACCATGACATGACATCATAGCATAGCGCGCAAAGAAACGCAAATTTAAAAAGCGGTCAAGTCCTACAACTATTTAACTTCGGTAATGCTGGCCCGATTTTGATGAAACAAAAACTGTTATTGCAATTACTTGTACAGTAATTTAGATATGCTGGTATGAATCATTGGCCTAAATGTCCTAATCCTTTTATAGTAACCTGTCAAAATGTAACAACTTAGTAGATGTAATATAAACCATACCATTCTCTTTTTTATTTCTTCTTTCTTCTGCTGCGTGAAGGACTCCGGAATGCCATTCTCACTCGCCTGAGCACTCAGCAACAGCTCCCACAGCTCGCCCATGAAGAGGCGTGCATTCTTTCCGTTCAGGAAGCCAGTCAGGTTGATCTGCATTTTCTTAGGGCAAGGGAACTAGGAGGCGAGGATGCAGGATCGGGAAAGAAAAAAAGCATCAAGTTATTAAGATGTCACACCAACCCACATTAGATAACACATCCTGACTCTGCATATGTATTGATTGTATGCTGCTTGCTTTCATCAATAACGATAAATATTTAGGACCACTTGTATTGTTGTATAAAAGTTTAAATACATTGGTTTCATAAGCCGCTAAGAGCGCCGATCCTTCTGATAATTTAAAAACAAGTATGGCATAGAAATGACTCTGGTAGGGAAGCTAACAAGTACATGGTGGTCAACGTCTGATTAGTTTTCATGAAGTGACGCCTGCCATCGAAGATGATGCGATGACAGCTGGACTGCAGATGAGACGCCACAGCTGGCGTTGACTGCAACGACGCTCAGCATTCACCGCAACCACTGCTGAAGACACACCAATAGTTTCTTTCTTCTATCTTCTACCTCTTGCATCTGTAAGGGGTTGCGAACACAACCACATTATGCTGAACGCAAAGCCTACAGGCAAAACTTCCTTACCCCGAGTCAGATCCTTCTCTTAACGGCTTCAACTCTCAATTATCTTTTTATATGTTGCATCGAAGTTTTATTTTAAATGTTTCAAACTAGGGAACTCCTCAGCGCATAATCATTTTAACTGAGTTAGCATTGTAAGAATTTAATTTCCCCGTAAATACCGATTTAGTATGCTAAGGCCTCCGTAAGAGTGGAGCCGGCGGGCAGCAGCGGCTAGCAGGCGGCAGCGGGCGATGGCAGCGACGGCACGCTAACCGATGAGGACCATAAAAATATCCATACGCAATCAATATACATATGACAGTATATTTCAATTGCAGTTTCTTTTTTTACAATATAAAAATCATATACATCACAAATAATGGTAGAGTAAACATTTCTACCAGAATACTCTGTGTGAAAGAAACTGCAATGATTACATTCTGGTATTGACATTTTAAAGCATAAAAAATGATTGAATTTAGCCACCTTCTCCTCAAGTTGATTGTTGACATAGTCAATGACCACATCATCTTCCATCTTCAATATCTCAGTGATCTTCTGTGTGATCCATGGTTTCAAGACATCCAGCTTCACCTTGGACATGTCCACCTGCATAAATCAATATTTTCTCTTTTCAACAGTGATAGCAAATTTTCATATTTAAATAAGTTTAAATATGTATGGAATAATTTGTAAATACTGTGTGACAGACTTATTGCAATAAAAAAAAAAATATTTTGTAAAACCCAATCAAAATAAATTATTTGTACAATTTTACTCATTATTAGTATTGAGTCACTTAACCATTTTTATATAATTTTTCATAAACTATTAAAAGTTATTTCTGTACCTGATAGAAAAAAAATAAAGAAAAGAATAAGGAGGATAAAAAATGTAAGGACCTGTTGTGTCAAACAATCACCAAACTTCATTTGCTTCATCAGCTTCTTCTCCTTGTCACTGAAGCGAGTATCCTGCTCTGTACTGGTTCCCTTTTGAGGAAGATAATAAATCAAAATACATGAATATAATCGACCACCTCCAAAAGAAATACTTCACACAGCTCATTGATTTACTTTTTACATTTACTACAAAAGGTGAAGAAGCAGATTTAAATCCTTGGCCGGGGTGAAGTTTCTGGACACATTATACAAATTTAAATTTCAACAGAAGGGTTCTATTTGTACATTTTCATTAAGTTTATCAGCAACATTTTCATGTCCTGCCCTGTGATTTTGTAAAAATCCTCAAATTCATTCTGGTGTGCGAATTAACTCCAAAGTGTTTTTTTTTATCTGAGATGGGCTCACTCTTGACATCAGGCATAATAACATTAAATTTAATAATAAATAATGATTCAAAGAGCTTTGTTCAGAAATGTAGAATGGAAACCAGGCAGATGTGATAATTAGCTGTACGTCTGGATTCCTGGTGGTAAAAATGTGCTGGCGGATTGAGCCGATGCGACTCAGCAGCACACTCTCCAAAGAACAATCTATAGAATACCGAAAGTTTTCGGCAATGAGAGAGACTGTGGAACTTAGAGTTAATGAGTTCGCAATCCCGCACAAGTTTTCGGGCTCTGTGTTCCACCGAAGAGAGAGTGGCAAGCTGGTATTTTGCTGAACCATCCCAATGGTGTGAACAATACTCCATACACGGACAGATTTGCGCTTTATACAAGGTAAGAAGCTAAAGTATAAAGTATCGCTTAATTCTATTTAGGATGCCCAGCTTTTTGGGCACAGTTTGAGCTTTCGTTTCAATGCAGTCACGGAAGTTGAGGTCTGAAGACAACCTCATGCCAAGAAGATCAAGATCATCAGAGATTTTTACAGTTGTACTATGGAAAGAAAGAGCCAAAGGCTCCTTTTGGCGGAGAATAAACACGCCTGTTTTGGTGGCATTAAAACTGACCAAATTGTTGTCCCCCCAATGGGAAACAAAACTTAGGGCCGAGTAAGTCTAGACTAGGCCGAGTAAGAAGACTAGAGACGTTTCGTGGCATAAGTGAAGTGTTTCAAAATTACATAAGAATAGAATATCTGACATACGTATATTCAATCAATTTCGTTTTGTATTTTTATACAAAAAAAAATGGAATCAATAGTATTTCTACACTCAATGACGTGAATTCAGACACATGAGGGAATTCGAATTCTGGTCTGGATTTTTACAGAATTGTGGGGCAGTACCCAAATTATAAAAGGACAAAGAAATATTTAACACAAATCGGTTCCAACGCCAAAATTAACACGATGGTAACAAGACGGTTTTAGCCGAATATACAAAAAATAATCGGCGAAAACGAACCAACAAACGCTTCGTGGACCAGTCATGATGGGACGCTATATTCGACATTCTAAAAACATTTACCTAACTATAATAAAGATAATAAAAAAGAACTCACCGTGTACATCATCATCTTGAACGCCGAGAATAATCAATAATTATAGAACAAAATGGCTAGAGTAAAAACACCAGCCCAACGTCGCGGCGTTACGCCGTAACGTACTAAGACTGATAAAATCAATCTCAGCAAAAACTGCACAAAAATGTTATACGTAAAGAAATTCCTCAATTATTTCGTTTACTTTGCATTTTATGTTTAAAATAAAAGAATTTAAACCAAGTTTACAGCTTGCTTAGAAAACACCTTTCGCGTCGTGAATTTCAAACACACGAAAAATGTGGTCAACCGCCATATTGATTGTAAATCAAGCGGAAAGATTTTGGAAACCCAAAGAGCACATAGAAGATACAGTTTTTTTATATATTGTGCCATGGAGGCAGTATACATATAACAGGACCGAGCACTCGACACTGAAAAGTGAACCGAGCGAGTATCAAGAACAGTGGCTATTTGTCACTTTTAATAAGGCAACAATAATATTTTCATTGAGTAAGACTTTCCCTAATATATATTTTTACTCTTCGCTTTGCATATAGTAGTTTTATTAGTAGTTTTTTTATTAGTTTACACAATAAAATTTATTAAATGCTACTTAATACAATGCCGCTCGGTTAAGTACTGAAGTATATCGTTAACAATCATACATTTTTTTTTTTTGTCCAGTTAATAATTTTCCATTTTAAAGCAATTTTATTACTAGGTTTTCGAATAATTGATGAAAAGGCGTGCATTCTGCGTGCGTGCGACTTTTGGGATTCGTGATAATCCTAACAAGTACCAGGCCATCATCGTGGGCAGTTCTCGTCTTTTGGCAAAGTTGAACGTGAGTTCGGTAGCGCCAGTCATCTTCAACTACACCTTCATAAAATTTTCTTCTCATGTTGTAGATTTAGACATTTGTATTGACAGATCACTAAGCTCGCACGCACAGATTGAGTCTATTAGCCGAAAAGTCATTGGCATCCTCAGGTCTTTCTACCAGTTCAAACATTTCTTTCCTATTTCCAAAAAAATCCTTTTAATCCAATCAATCATTTTTTCCATTATAGATTATGCTTATGATATACACGGTATAATAATATAACCATTTTGTAGTAAATCTCTTTCTATGTTGATTTACCTAGAATAACACAACATAAATTTTGGACGCCACATTTTTAACTTAACATACAAACATATAAAGGACATAATTAGTGAATAGTAAACACACAAATTAGCTTTATTAGAAATTTAATTTATTAATACAAATAAATTTTCCTAATGTTTTTAATATTGGGACCTCTTTAATAGACCTTAAAAGCTGTTTAATATTAAGAGGACATGGAATGTCTAAGGATAAGATATGATAAGGGAATGGGGAGTATTTGGGCAATTAAAAAACATGTGATCCGATGACTCTTCATCCAGTCCACACTCAGAGAGAGCACTATCCCGAACTTTAATTTTAGCCAGATGTACGTGTGCAAGCATGGCCAAATCGAAGGCGGCTTTTTTGGTACATTGTTATGTTCAAAAAAACCACTGTTTACTGGGTATAAAAGGTTATACATCGAAATAACTTTTGGCTGCTCTGCTGCAAAGAGCCTTGTGGGAGACCGTTCCAATAGTTCTAGGGGAAGGGAAACATTTTGATATCTGATGGAGATTATGATACTTAGCTGGTGCAACTTTTGCTTAAGTATTTGAATCTGGACGTTATTATATACCGAAGCTGTGTCTAGAAAAATAGCCACCATGCACTCTTTGTTTTTAACTGCCGGTCGAATGTCTGTTGTAAGGGTTGCTAGACTGTCATATGTACTGTATCCTTTCCTAAACCCAACTTAGGATTTGGCGAGGATATTCTAGCTATTCTAGCCATTCTAGTTGATTTCTGATAATATGTTCCATGATTTTAAGGAAAACTGACTAAAGAGCGATAAGTCGATATGAGGCGAGGTCAATCCGAGGAACCGCGAAATCTCTTAATCTGTCTCATAATCAGACCAAGGAAGAGGGGGAACTTGAGCCATCCTTCTTTTTTCTTTTGGCTAAGTATTTTTCTAGTTTTGGCTGCTGTTTTTTGATGGGCCAAGTAGTTTTCCATAGTCATTGAATTATTATATTTTTTCTTCACTTTTTTACACTCCGCAGTAGCTTAAGTACAATCAGAATCCCACCAGGAGGGGAATATAATTTCTGTTTGAAGAGTTCTTTTTAAGAGATATGTGTGAATGTGCAGCAGAGAGTTAACAGTTATAGTTAGAGAGTTAATATTAAAACAGTTTTCAACATTAACTAGAGAGAGCTAATCTTTTTCATCCAAAACCGAAGCATAAGACAACCAATCTACCTTATTGAGTTTGAATTTTAATAAAGGTGGAAGTCGGATAAACGGAGGTAATTTGTCTAACAACGATAACAAAATAATAAAATGATCACTACCGTACCGTTATTAACAATGATATTTTGATAGGCTTGTTTGTCCTAGCCTTTACTCCAAGTTGGTTTGGGAAAACTGAGATTTTTGAGGTGATTCTTGATATACATGGGTATTTGGTTGAGGGGTTATAGGGGTATGTGCATCTGAATATAACCTCCTGACAGGAGGAAAGTTTACAGCTGCCTCCTGGTATGAGACATTGTTTTGGGTCATAGTGAGTTTAAAAACTTTTGGCGTGATTGTTCGGAATATAATTTATTGGTAGCAAAGTGTCGAGAAAAACAATATAAATATGTTGAGTCTTTTTCAAGTATATCACAGTTTTCTCCAGAGATAGTTTGAGCACATCGAAAACATTTTGATTTAGACCAGTGATTCCCTAAGTAGTTCAGGAGGACCCCTAGGGTCCACGAGGGATTCAACGGGGGTCTACGTTGGGGTGAAATAAAAATAGGGCACCAATTTCCATCGTTAGATCTTCATATTTTGGACGAATTTTGGAAATATGGTAATAATGGAGCAGCAGGAGGTCCACCGAAACCAGTACATTTTTTAAAATGGTCTACGAGAAAAAATTGTTTGGGTACCTTTGATTTAAACCGACACTGTCGTTAACCTTATCTCTATAGGAACAACGACTGGAACTAATTGATAACGCAAAAAAAAATACAATACAACTATTCATGACGTTCGACCAAAGGAACAGAAAACGGATTACGACTGGATAAAAAAAAAAAAGAAATTCTGTTTAGTCCGTCAGTCAGATAATAGAAAAATATAAGATACGTGCTTCAATTTAAATAAGGAATGGCTTAGATAATAGTCATCAAAATTGAGGAATGGGGGCTCGCCACGTACAAAACTCGAATTAATATCGACTAGAAATTCATTTAAATAGAGTTACGCAAACAGAACTCGATTTATACAAACGAAGCTTCGAATAAAAAAAATTTTGTTTGAAAGTAGAAACTAACTTAATGGAAATGAGCATAGGGAAGGTTTTTGTCATCAATAGAATATTGCTGTGAAATTATTAAAAGTAGCATTTAGCTAGGGTATACAATAATATTACCGTGAAATAGTTTTTATAAATAAAATACATTTGAAATAGCAGGGCTAGGCATTTCACATTATAATATTTATCAAAAGTTTTAAAACAATAATAACAAGGTAAGTTAGTTTTGTAGCTCTTAGGTATTAGTTGAACTAACAGTAACAAAATTACTTTAAGTCTCAATAATATTTTTATAATATGTATGGTGAATGAATGGGCTTTATTAATCAGCAACAAAGGTCTTTAAAAAAGATAATTATAATATAAGATCCGTTTTTTATTTATAAGTATACTCGATATATATCAAATATACTAGGTTCTCGTAAGATCTAACATGACTTCTGGCTAGAATAACGTTTGTACAAATTACAATGTGAAAACAAATTGTCCTTTCGAACTTAAGAATTTATTTTTATAAAAAAAAACTAAGATCAGTTAAATAAATGATCACTCGTGACGTAAAAGGGCTGGTGATGATGACATCACCAGCCCTTTTACGTCCCCACTGCAGGGGCTCAGGCCTTCCTTATGGATGGTTAAGGAGGATGGGCCATGACCCTCCACGCTGGCCCAATGCGGATTGGAGAGTATTAACGACTGCAAATGCAGCCGGAACCAACGGCTTAACGTGCCTTCCGAAGCACGGAGTAGCTCGAGATAATAATTTTTTGGTCACCCATCCCGTGGGTCGGTACCCTTACGAAAGTTGCTTAACGACTACGATCGCGGGCCGCGGCGCTTATCCACTACGCCATCGAGCTACACCGAGCTACAGTTTCTGCCGTAATAAAAGTAAATTAAGTATCGAAAATTAATAAATATGGCATTGTTTCGTGTTTCTTATAATATGTAACTTTCAAATAAATTTTAATTGTAAATATAAATTATTTAATAAATTACATGTTTAGAAACAATGTTTGGTTAATATGTCAAGACTAGTGATGAGCTAGCTTATTGATTGCCCATAACATAAATTGACTCGATTCGTCCGAACTTTTACTACGTCAGGAAGAAGATTTGAATTAGTATACAATTAACTGAAAAACAATTCATAGACAACTAACTGAAACCGCTAGAGACGTCTAATTTGCGTTTAAGAACTAATTTTTATGTTTAAATATATATTCATGTTAATTAGTGTCAAGTCAAAGTATAAATTATTATAATTATTCGTGAAAATATTTATTTATTTTGTGAAACTGTCCAAAAAGCCAAAAGTGATATCTCAAGCGAAAAATATTATTTTTTTATACAAGAAGCATTTAAAACCACTCTCCAAATTTGAGTATGTTAATCTTTACGACAAATAATGAAATACGTGTTTTTTCTTTTTATGTCGTTTAGAACAAAAATGTTGAGTTATATCGTCACCAAGTTATTTTCAAAAAACATACATTTGTGGACGCTCCCGCTGCCCAGTACGTGCGCTTTACGCGCTACGTTAGTTCCCCCCCCCCTTCCCTTCCCGCAATTCATTGATAGTAATACAAGTACGTTTGCGAGTTAGTAGCAGCTACCTAAAATGTTTTCGTTTTTTTATGCTAGGGCAAATGGTACATAAAGTTGAAACCTTTCCTTCATACTTTTACGGGCTTAGGACCGTCAAATTGCAAAAATTCTATTAGATACCTACTATTACAATAACTATACTGCTTTAAATTTATAAATAAGTAGGTAAGCAAATATCAAGTTACCTAAAATTCTGTTTAGTTAAACCAATAATAAAAAAAGTAGGTACTTAACTAGATATTCTTTGCAATCAGGCGTATTTAAAAAATCATCAACTTTATGTACATAATCAACTAATCACTTTATCCTACCTAATTTAAC